TTGTTTTATTTTTAATGAATGCTATAAAACTATTATCAATACATACGTACAAAGATAATGATCGAAAAACATGAAAAGTACATATTGAAATTGTAAATTCATTTCCTCTTTGCCCTTTAGAACTCCTGCTTTCATCATGTCAATTTTGTATTCTTGGTGACTCGCCTCACATTAATAACAATTATCTTCATTTAGCCTATGTCCAAATTGTGTATACATTAGATATACATTTATTACAGTCATTATAAAATTATATTAATGCCTAAGAATATTCAAAAAAATAGAGAAAAAATATATACATATTTGAGTTTGTATACATTAACCGATTTAATACTACTTTTTCTTGCATCCCAATACCGTATATAATGTAATGTTCGAAAATTACCCTTTACAAAACAGAAAAAAAAATATTAATGATTATTTTAACTATTTAGCCATAAAACAAGTGTAAAATATTTTGGTACATTGAGCAAAAATACAACAAAGTAATAAAGAGAAAAAAAACTGTAAGGAGAAAAATATTTTTTTTTTTTTTTAAATAAAATTCAGTTTTTTATGACTCTTATAATGGTTGTTAATAACATTAATTTTCTCCTATTAATACTGTTACTGCTGCTGCTACTACTGTTACTACAATTACTACTCGACATACCAATAGCAGTAGTAATACGATCTTTGTCAAACATTAAAAATGATAGAAGAGGAGAGGAGGGAAGAGAATTTTATCTCTTAAGACTATAAATTTTTGAATTTTATTCCCTAGTAATATTGCAGTATAAATGTACGTACAGTGATAACATAAATGGAATGGGATAATATTGGTGAATCAAATGATTATATGCTATCTTTGATGAGAAAAAATTGGGTCCATTTGATTCTTCTCTAAAAAAAAAATATAAAAACAAAATTGTATTTAATGGGAAAAAAGGACTAATTTTTAACATTAAATTCTCTCTTTCTTATTTTTTAGTTGCCTTTTCTCTTGTTTTTCCTTGTAAATAACTTAATTCACTCTGTAGACTATATTGTATATAAGGAAAGAAATGTAAAATAAAATAAAAATGTTGAAAGATGTTAGGAAAGAAGTTGGGGGTAGTGAATTAATTTAATTTTTTTCTTAATATAATAAAATAAAATAAAATTTAAAGATTAAAGGTGTGCTGAAAGAAAAAACCAAAGTATATAACACTGTAAAAGGAAAAATATTCTCTTTAATTAAGGAACTTTCCTTCAAGAAAAAAAATCCTTCAAGATTCTCTCTTGATTATATAAAATTTTTCATTTCAAAGCTTGCCATCTTAATAATCATTTCCGTTTTTTTTTCCTTCTTCGTTTTGTTGAAAAAAAAAAACCAAAATTTGTTAGGGAATGTAATATTGAGCATCTTTACTAAAAAGGAATTCTGATTGTATTCTAGTGCTTTCAAAAAAATAATTGGCTCAATTAGTTTTTGTTTATAACAAAATTTTTAAAAAAAATTCATGGCTAAAGCTATTTTTGCATTTGCTTAGCCTTTTTGCTAGGCTGTGACATACATAGGTTTCTATTACAAATTTAAGTAATTTATTTTACTGCCTAGCAGTGAATCAAGGTGTAACGAAAACCATTGACCGACCTCTAAAATTGAAGAAAACCAATGTAAGAACTATAAAAATAGAGTCAAAATAAATTAAAATGCACATATGTATACAGAAATGATGTTCTTTTAAAATCCTAAGCAAAAGCTACATAAGTCAAATTTTACCATAATTGAGTTTATTTTAAATTCTACACTTTAATATTAATATTCTAACAAAATTTTATTAAAGTCAATTTAATTACTTGCCAATTTATGGGGAAAATTTTTAAAAGAGTGTCTGTTTATTCTGAATTTATTTATTAACTTTAAATGCATATAATGATAAAAATTCCTTTAATTCATAACAAAACTAAACGATTCAAATTAATTCAAGGATTCTTAATTTAATACACCTATGGATTGAAAAATGGAATCAACATTTTAATAGATGAGGCATAGAAGATAAAAAGACTTCACCTAATACTTTGTAAATTGTTTTTCACAACATTTATATACGTTAATATGAATAATTTATAGGTACACATTGAAATTGAATAATAGTTAAATGATAATGAAAAATAAATAAAATTCAATTAATTAAAATTCTATTTAATTATATTAGTATCAAGAATTTATTATTAAATTAAAATTGAATACTTATATTCTTATAAAACGTGTGTAGAGAGAAAGAGATACGCAAAAGAAAGAATTTAACATTAATCACAACAATATACAGCGACGTTTATTTATCCTTGTGCGAACACAATTAATTTTTATTTATTTATTATATAAATTTTTCTATTAAAAAACTGTTTTATATAGATGGACTTTAAATAATTTTCAAACTAATAATAATTAACAAAAAAAAACGAAAATTCTTGGAATAGAAATCATTAATCTAATTTTGGTATTAATTACAAGTAAATAATTTTTTTTTCCTTTATTCTCTCTATTTTCTAGTAATTTATATTCAAGGTTATTTCTTAAAATTCAAGGATACACCAAAGAGAAATTACAATTTTATATATAATAAAATTAAAAGAATGAACATATATGTATATGTACAATAAAGCGTTCATTCGATTTTCATTTGAATTTTAAAAAAATAGAAAATGTTGCGTTAATAACTAAAAATAAAAAAGAAATTTGTCAGAGTAAGGAAATTTTATAAAATTAATCAATTTGTATAACAGAATTTTACTAAATTTAAATTTAAATGAAAATTAAAGGCTGAAAAATAATATTGGTCTCCTTTTTCCTTCTTTTGAATACAGGAACTTTTATATTGTAGTACTGTTAAATGCAGAATTAAGAATGCTTCAAAATATAGAATTTTACACAATTCGTTATAATTACAAACAAGTAATTCTCAAAAACTCTATAAAATTTTAAAATTTATTTAGGAATTACCAAGTGAGTTTAACGTCCTGACTTAAGTATTTCTAAAAGATTTTTTATACTTTTTCACATCAACGCGTAGTGCATTTTGTTGAAAATTCTTATATTTAAGAATTTCATTCAATACTAGCTCTAAATTTTGATTAAATTTCATAGATATTGCTTATTAACTTTTGTTTAAAAAATTATATTTAATGTTTAATCCCCAAGAGCTATGAAGCGCATTTGCATCGCATCTAATAACGAGAGGTAGTCTCTCCTTTTTGCAGTAATCTATCGGCCTGTATAATTCCAGTGGTGGCACTTGGACCACGTTTCCTGCGAAATAGGCCGACACTAGAACTATCTTCAGAATTTTCCGTCAGAGGAATCTGACGGGTGTCATGAATTCTAAAAGTAGAATATATTTAATATTTTTCTTATATGTCCCAGATCCTTCGCATGATCCGTCGACAATCGCCTAATTAAAGTGGGTGAGGTCCACCTGGCTGAACATCACCCCGGGGTATACCCTAGGTAACATAGCCCCTGGTACGTACCGTCTTAATGACACCGGCTTAGCTGAGGTGAGGATGCTAGCTCTCGTTTCACTCTGCATAACCGTTCTTCTTCTTTTTCCCTCTTCTTTTTGCGAATTCAGTGACTTTCAGTAATATATTATAAAACAAAACTTTAATATAAAAAGAATTACCCATGTATTCATAATATTCAATATTGAATACCAACAAAAATTAACAATAATTTTATCAATAACCTTTAATAGTTAATATAAAGAAAAAATTACGGCAGGCTAGGCACCCGCTTAATTAACTTTCAATAAGTCAACTAATTACTAATATAAAACTACTGAAAACAACACTAAACTCATCGAAACCGAAGCCAACCACGACATGCTGCTACTTTATGATTGGATGAAACGCCACAAATTGACGATAAACATAACAAAATCGAAGTACATGCTAATAAAAGGAAAAAATGTTGGTTTAAATATTACTTATAATAATAGTCAAATCGACAGAGTTGTTTCATTCAAATATCTGGGTATTATAATTGATGACGAGTTATCTTGGAATCAACATGTCGAAAGTTTGGCTAAAAAGACGGGAAGGATTGCTGGTATCTTTAGGAAAATATCTAGCAGGGTTCCTGAGAGGCTGAAGATTTCTGTTTACCATAGCCTTTTCCACAGTGTTATTACTTATGGAATTTTAGTATGGGGTAACACATTTTTGAAAAATTTAGAGGTTGTTCAGCGAATCCAAAATTCATAAAACACACAATCTTCTAAAATTAATGGACTCTAAAGAGCTAGCTCAAACAATGCATATTCAAAAAATACTAAACAAAAATATAAAATCCAATACGCAGCTTGTCCTCAACAGCAATTTTCATAATTATAGTACCAGAACGGCATCTCACATGCGCAGTCATTCAGTGAATAATCTAAATGGACTTGAGCCAGTCATTAACTCAGCTGTCAAATCTTACAATAGGTAATACACTAAAAAAATCTTCAATAGGAGTATTGAAAAATGCTTTGAAAAAACAATACTTAGAAAAATATTAATTATGTCATTGTCACTTATTGTAAATATCTTTAAAATCAATTAATCTTTTGTTTTTTTTCTAAATATTTAAGTATTTGATGTTTTTTTTTGAATTCTGTTTAGTTTTTTAATTTTTAATTTTTGCTTTTTACAATTTGAATCTTTATTTTTACGTTTTTAATGTAATTGTTTAATTTTTTATTACATTAATTTTAATCTTTTTATATTACATATAATGTAGTTATGTTGTCTTTTTTTTATATTCTTTTTTCGAGTGTTGAATGGCTTATCCTGCGATATTATTATATTATCAATTTAGGCTAATTTTTACTAAAAAAATTTGTAAATTTCTGAATTATATACTCTATTTGAGCTTAAAGCTCTTTTGAGAAATTATTGAAATAAATAAAAATAAAAAATAAAATAAAAGTCAAATGGTAGATCCAAATGAACCTATACTACAATATTAAAATTTATTTTAAAAATGTTTAACTCACCTGTTTTGCACAAAGTACATTCAAATTTTCTAGGAATATATCATTTGTATTATTATTATCCCCCAATATAATATTATTAGAATTCGCTAATTTTTTATTACCGTTATTAATGAGTTGTTGCTGGTTATCATTTAAACGATTTAAATTATTTAATATGGTTTTTTGATTATTTTGATCATTAACCAATGTATTTTTATATTGTTCTAAATCATCATTAATTATAACATTATTTAATGATAATGAATTTTCATTATTATCTTCATTATTATTATCATTTACATTAATTAAACCGCAATCATAATTAATTGTATAATTATTAAAATAATTATTTAAATTAAAATTATTAATATTATTGAAAGATGAATTAAAATTATTGGTAAACGAATTAAGATTTGTTGTATTATTTGAGCTGATAATTTCATTGCTATTTAAATTTGAATTTAATTCATTTGTTGTTGTATTAATTTGTAAATCATCTATATGACCGTATATTGATGAAAGTTTTTCAACAATTTCTTCTGTATTACCATTTAAATTTGTTGTAATTGATGTATTATTAATATTAGAATTTAATGTTATATTATTACTATTACTGTTACTGTTATTATTATTTATTTGTGTATTTCCTAAATAATTTGATGTTGATATTGGATTATTATTTATATTGTTATTATCACTGTTATTGTTATTATTGATATTTGATGTTATTGTAGAATTATTATCCTGAAACGGATTTGATGCAATTGAATGCTGTTGTGATTGTAACACAAATGGACTGTGTACTATACGCATTTTGATTTACTGAAAATAAAAAAAAGGCAAAAATTAGTAACTCATCCATAATTAAAAAATAAAATAAATTAAATACATAAAAATATTTTAGTTTTAAATAAGACTAAATAATAACTGAAATTCATGATAGTTAAAAACATTTTAATGGGTAATCATTTTTATAAAAATTTTATACAATGTTTTTAATAGTTTGACACAAATCTATTAGATATTAATTGGTCATATTCACTCAAATTCACTCAAGATCCTTACTCCTATTTACTCTTAATTTCCTGCACACGAAAAATTCAAAATGAAATTAATTTGAGAAAATATTTTTTAAAACAAAATTATTAACACTTTTCGTTTAACTTTAAATTTGCAATTACACGATTATTTTAACATAATTTTCTAAAATAAAAATCCTAAATACCCTCCAAACAATGTTCCTAATTACTTTCGAATATCCTTAATGTCGATCTTTCATATTCCATTTCTTCTAATTCCACTATCATTCTCTGATTAATCAAAATAAATATTTTTCCTCAAGGGCTTAAAGTTTTTAATAACCAAATTTAAAATTTCATCATAAATTTAATCAGAATAAAAGCCGCAGACTTCCGTTTTTTCTTATATACATATATAGAAAATTTTCCACTTATGTATACAAAATTTTTACTCATAAAAGAATTCCACATGTATAGCACAATGTACTCCTGAATATATAAAGATATAATGTGCAAAAAGGATAAAAATAATTATAAATTAATAAGTTTTTAGTTTTTATATTAAAATTTTAAGAGAGAAAACAGCAAAAAATGCAAATTTAAAGATTAAAATTTCAAAATATTTTGCTATTTAAATAATTTAAATATTAAATACTTTCATATTCCATTATTACTTCTTTAGAGTATAGTTTTTGTAGTCAAAATTCATTAGGGACTTAAGAGAGCACATACAAATTAAAATTAAAAAAATATAGCAAATAGAAGATTCGCTGTAATTATATAAACCTTGTTTGAGAGGAGGGGAAAGGGTGACGAATATTAATTAAAAAAAAATTAACAAGGAAAATCTAAGTGTAAAAATTTATAGTAATGCGGTTAACCTGGTGAGTCCTCCCATGGCAATTACTATTCTCATGACAGTTTATGCTTTGCTACTGTTTATAGTTTATGCATAGTTTAAAATTTTTGTTTTGCTAACACAACATACACAAAACATGGTTATAATTCATGCCAAAGCTTTTGCCTGTTATCAGGAAATAAAAAAAGAAACAGAAGTAAAAAAAAAAAATTTATGACGGTTTTTATTTTTCTTATTTTTTTTGCTCACCTTCGCGTGAATTGCGGTTGAAATTTTGAATTCTTGCGTTAAATAAACTTATATAATAATTTGTATCATATCGTACTTATATACCGTATTTACTTATGCATGTACATAAGGAAATATAAAATATTAATGGAATGTCCTTAAAGAATTAATTAAGAAGGTTGAAATTCTTTTGCCGCACATATACCGGGTAAACGTATTTAAAAGTTGTTATATATGTATGTAGGTACGCATAAGTGCGTGTGTATGGTAAATTGTGAAAAGAAAAGATTATAAAATTAGTTTAGTACGCCTTTAAGTGTAAGTGGCATTTAAATATAGTTTTAATTAAATTAAAGTTTACTTGTTTACTCAACAACCTTGACTGACTTTCTTCTTGTTGTTGTTTTTATTATTTTATTTTTAAAACGTGCTATCATGCATCGAGATTTCTGTATATACAGAGATCAGGTGTCATTAGCAATATAAAAAGCAATTATTTTTTAAGTTGATGAAAATTTGTTCTTTTCTTTTTTTTAATACTTTTTTGATTTCATTTTAAGTTTTGGTTTTTAAATTAAATTTGTTTATTCAATTTCTTTTAACTTTCTACGTCAATCTTGTTATGATTTTCCTTTTCAATACAACAATTTTATTTGCAAAGTAATATGGAAGTTTTGATTTTAATTAAACAAATTGAGATTAAATCTAATATGCAAACGGAAGTAGTTTTCGATAGATCTCCGTAAATTGCTATAAAATTAGTACAGAATTAACAAAAATGCCAAAAGCCCGTAAATTTATTGTTTAGAATAATTTATGAATTTTATATAAAATTTTAATGTATAGGAGACCCGATTTTAATGTATAGGAGTCCTTTTCAAGAGGACCATCGAGAGACAGTCGCTAATAACATTTAAATCTGAACGTGTAACGTGGATTGTTCTCTTCCCGATTTGGTCTTGAGAGAGGCTTAAATTTATTGAAGAAAGAAGGGTCGTTTCAGTGGTCGACTGTGGCCCACGCCGGTCAATCATTCAGGACGCCCAGAATTATCTTCTCAGCACCCCAAAGCAAAGCTTCGGTCTAATAAATAGGGTCGCCGCTCTTCTCCTAGGAAAGCTATCAGACGGAAAGGGTCCAAAAACGCCCCTATTCCTGATTCCTTCTGACAATGTCAGTTACATGATTGAAGTCAAAGAATAACATCATTTCTTAAGAATTAAATTCGAAATTAAATTATTTAATTTCGAATTAGTTTTACTAGTTTTAAATAAATCAATTAGATTTTTAAGGTTATAATTTTTATATTCTATATTTCTATTCTATTTTGTCTACAAAATATATTTAAATATTTGTAAAAATATTTTGAATTTATAATAGTAATAGATAATTAATATCATTAGGATTTTCAAGCAAATCCGAGAATGCCACACCACATATCATCCCAAGTGAATCAATTGCCAATGCTTCACCTAAAATTCCTCAATAAACACAATACATATATACAATTAAATCTAAATACTTAAAGTAAATGTACCCACAAAATTTTATAATATTTAAAGTGTAATATCATTGAAATAATATAAATATAATAGGGCTCACGTAATGAGATGTGACAATAATTATAAATTGTGATTAAGGCTAAAAATAATCGTTTTTCACTAAATTTCAAATACATTTATTAAAATAAAAATACAAATATATAAAATAGAATTAAATTATACTATATGCATATTTAATTTTAATAATTTAATAGAATCCCCTTGAAAATCAAAAGTACAAAATATATGAATATATTTAAAATTTAATTAAAAAACAGTATATACACATATACATACATTTACATAAGTATTTAATATTAATTCCACTCATAAAACAGATTCATGAATTCAACATTTTATTTAGAACTATTAAAACACTAGATTATCATTCATATAATTTACATACATATATATATATATATGTATAAATGAATAAAGCTTGAAAGTTTTTCACGATTGAATAGGAATTTTCTCTTTTTTATACTACTTATATTATTACACTATGAAATTTTTGTGTGAAAATTATGGAAATTATGGAAAATTTTCCTCTTGATAATAATTATCGCAATTATTCCTATGTTTCTTATATATAGTAAATGTTATAATAGTAAAATAGAAAATATCAAAATTTTCATTTATACAAGCAAAATATTATATAAAAAATCTATTATACATCTTAAAAAAAATTTGTAATTAAAAATGATTTCTTGAGTTAAGGAATTTGCAATCACAGCAATGAAAATATTACAGTAACAGTAAATTATATATAGTATGTATAACAGTTAAAAAAATTGCATTCTACATAATTATTAATATTATGTGATTTGTACACTTTGTATATATGTTATATATAATAATGCTTTTAATTATTGTAATCTTAAAAGGATAAGGAGAAATGCAAATAAAATATAAGAGAAACGAAAAAAAAAAAAAATCAGGATTTTTTTCATGACAAATGGAAATTTATGCGCGTTTCAGTTATCTAGGACTTTTTATCTAGGATTATTTGAATATTTCTTTTTTTTTTTAATGAAAAGCAAAAAAATAAATTAAATATTCATTCAGTCAACATTTTTTTCTCATTTTTGATTTAATTATAAAATCTAATTGCAATTTTCAATTCCATTGTAGCAGATATTACCATTTGTTTTTTAAATCTTTACTATTAATCTTTACTAATTCCAAATTTCAATTAAAAAGTACTCTATTTTGTACAATTTAGCCAGAAAATGCATTTAAAGACTTTCAATAATTTTTTACATAAGAAAATTTCATTCTTATTTCAGTAGAGCATTGCTTTAGTTAGTATTTTGAAAATTTCGCTCAAAAAAGTCAGGCCGAACAGTTAAGGCCGAAAACGCGTTTCAGCCTTAACTGTTCCGAAGGTTTTCATTTGGCATTTTTTGAAAATTCTAATCTTATACTTGTGCTTCGTTGTTTAAATTTTTTTTAAAGATTCACTCTACATAATTAATTTAGCTAGAATTTCGAATATTTTCAGAATTTTCGGGAAATTATAAGCAATTACTTATTTAGTTAATAGCTTCTTATATTTTTTTGCTAAATTTGAATATTGTTTACTTAAAAATTCTATAAAATTATAAATAAAATTTTACGACTGTGTCCCTTTTAAGAAGTTCTGTGGAAACTTTAAAAGAATGTTCACTATTCCCCCTTCAATCCTAGTTAAAAGCACATTATTTTACTACAAAAAAACGAAGAAAACAATAATTTAGAATCAAAAGAAAATTCTCTAAAAGCAAAAAATTTTTATTTTACTAAAAATCTAATTTTTTTATGTTAGTATGCACTCATGTTTGAGCACATGCAAGTAATTATTAAATAATATTAACTCAAATTTGCAAATTATTTGATCTTAAAAACTGGAAACAAATTATTCATTTCTTTACACACATACGTCATAGCTTCCTTTATGATTTGTTTATTTCCAAATCGAAATTTGAAATATTTTTTGAGATTATAAAAATTTTTCAATAATAATTTTTATTTATCTTTTAAAATGTGATTGTAAAGATTTCATGTATTCAAATCCGATCATCATCAACATTTTATCAGAAAATCTCTTTTATATAAGAGAACAGAAAATATTTTTTTCTCTTTAATGCTTTTAAATTATTATCCTTTTTTTATAGTTTAATAAAATAAGCATATGTA